TCTCTCTCTCTCTCTCTCTCTCTCTCTCTCTCTCTCTCTCTCTCTCTCTCTCTTTGTTTTTTTTTTTCCCTTCAATGAGCCCTCCACAGGTTCACATATGGGAACCTGGTATTTCTTCTTCCTCTAAATTATATAAGGTTCAGTGACCTTGTCACGGCACCTCCAGCAGCAAACCGATGAGATCATGGTCTGCCTTCTCCCACATTCCCACATTGTTTCTCCTACCTCCTTTGCCTCCCTCCACCATCGCCACCTCTTTCTTCATTGTCTCCCTCCGCCTTCCGTCGCCTCCTCTTTCCCGATCGCCTCCCTCCTCCCACATTGCCACCTATAGCCCCATCATCCCCCTCCTCCCTCCGTCGAGTTCCTATCACCCCCTCCACCTCCATCCCCCCAGCCTGTGTAAGATCCCCACCCCGCTTCCCTCACCCCCACGAACCCAAAAGCGGTTAAGCACAAAAATTTGAAAAGACCTTGGAATATGGTCCCTGAAGACAAGCACAGAACGGTGGTATGAAACCCCCCCCAGAAAAGAAAAAAAAAAAGAAAATGTGTTCTTTTGAATCTTTTCTCATGCTCGGGTGACCTGGGTGTGGGACAAGCCCGGGTGTCACGCCCGGGTGCTTGGCCAGTCAACTGTGTGTGGAAATCTTCCTAGTTGTTCACGGTTTCATCACCGAGTACATAGCGCCTCGCTCCGCTACCCAACAAAGGTGTCTCGATCTGCAACCCACCAGAGTGCCTCGCTCCGCTACCCACCAGAATGCCTCGCTCCGCTACCCAACGAAGTGCCTCGCTCTACCCGAGTCCCTCGCTCCTCTACCCGCCAAAATGCCTCGCTCCACAACCCACCAAAACACGTCGCTCCACTACCCACAGAACACACAACATGAGAATGCTTCACTTGTTGGAATACAAGTAGATAGCATCTCGCTCTAGTATCCATCAGAAATGCAAAACGAGAATGAATCTTCTCCAAGAGCATGGGAAGGTAATGTGTTAAATGAGAATGAATCTTCCTCTAGAGCACGGAAAGATACAACACAATACAACACGATGTGCCTTTCTTTTTTTTCCCCCCTCATGGCCTCCGCCACATCTTTGGCGGGCATCTACTTGTTTTTCGTAAATGACTGATTTGGAAGATGGCAGTAGCTGACTGTTGTATGTTGTGTTGTTGCCTTTATTTTCTGTGTACGGCAGTGCGAACATTCACAACGATTCAAGAGAAGGGACCCATCAGCAGTATCCTCTTTTAATTCCTCTTGCTATGGTGCGCACCTCTTTTTGTAGGCGGCACTCACAACACATGGTCACATTTTGAAAACCTACTTATGTTATGCATGTGATGATGCAACTGCAGCGCATAAGTAGCAGACATCCACGGAGCGAATCAGGTTCAAACGATGGTTATGACGGACCCGGACACCGTACCAGTCCAGACTTCCGGCCGGACCTGTGTCTGACCTGCTCTGGGCCGCTCGGATTGGAAAGCCCCGTTTTTTAGATGGTCCTGGGCCAGAAGATTTTCGTATTGCAATGCTTCATAAGCAGCATAACATATCTTTTTCAGGACCCAGACCCTCTGCACTGCGGTCCGGACATCCAGATCGCAACCATGGTTTACACAGACAGTCGGATGCGGAAGAAATGTATGGCCCAGAGCAAGGCGAAACATTGCCGATGCGCTGGCGAGCCCGTTGTATTCGGCTGGCCAGGTTCGCGTATTAGCCAATTTATATCTTGACAGGCAGGCTGGGACTATCATGGAGTGTGGTTCCAAGCCAGTCCGCAAGCTGGAGGATGTTGGTCTAATCTTCCACTACTATGCCTGCGAACTGCAAAATATTCTGAATGTCATATGTAGTTCATATGGGCCTCACCTGGAATTAATGTGGCCTTTTTCCATATTGGACCATGTGTTCCTGAATCTTGATCCTTTTGAGGGGTGTCTAGTGTGGACTTCCCTCTTTCGTCGTACTGTAGTCCCCACCACTCCTTGTATACATACACACCTTCAGAGTCCAATTGGGGGGTTGAGAGAGAGAGAGAGAGAGAGAGCATACACAACTTCAGAGTCCAATTGGGGGGTTGAGAGAGAGAGAGAGAGAATGTGTGTGTGTGTGTGTGTGTGTGTGTGTGTGTGAGAGAGAGAGAGAGAGAGAGAGAGAGAGAAGAGAAAGGGGGCGGCTGCTTTTCACACCTGCGCATGGTCCAAAAGCTATGTAATGCTCCCCCCCTCCCCCCCCATTGTCCCCTACCTTGTGAACAATTGATGATGTTGTTGTGTTTTATGCTTTTTCAATCTCATCAACCGACAGTTTGGGTACATAACATTACGTCAAACCACTGCTCCTCCGGATCATCTTTCACTTAGCCAGCATGGTGTTGTCTGTGGCCTTGCCTATGCTCCTACCTTGTGATGACGAAAACCCTTGATGCTGTTGCTGTGTCTTGTACATTTTCACAAGTCCTGAACCACAACACTTCGTGGCATTACGTTAGGTCGGTTAACCGCTGCTCCTCTGGACCGGCACAGTGGCGTCTGTGGCCTCGTGTATGGCTGTTCTGCCATTTCTTTGGCTTTCCCAACTTTCCCTGTATGCAAAAATCAATTCTGGTTTGGCGACTGAGTTGGACTGACCCATGCTTTAGGCTCCAAGGAGCTCAAACCGAAACATACTTCAGGCTCCAAGGAGCCCAAGATGACTCCCTCCTGCACTGTGCTGCAATCCCCCCAGCCGAACAGAGGCCAACTTCCCCCACCTTTTGACAGCCCTACAGAGGCCAACTGCCCACCTTTTGACAGCCCAACAGAGGCCAACTCCCCACCTTTTGACAGCCCTGATTTTGTTTTTTGTCCTGCAACGCCCTGCATTATGTTGCCTGTGAGGACAAGATGTTTTGTGTACATACGATCATTGCACGCATGGTTGAACCCTTGACTTGCTATTTCACAGTGGCTATGGGATCCGTCTTCGGAATCATTACAAATGGCATCATTCTGCTTCAGATAATTATCTACAGCAGAGCTCAGACGAAGGAGGACGAGGACGAGAAGAAAAAGAAAAAGTAGCGAATGTTTATTCAGACGGTCAGAGGAAAATGATGGGATGGTGTTTTCTTGAAAATGCGGTAAGTTTATTGCCTCTTCAGCCTACCGTCTCGCTGAACCTGTTTTTTTTTCCCCAGCAGGTGCTGCCCCGCAGCAATAGACTGGAGTCACAGACTGAGCTGCTAGGACTGTATGCTACTATGCTCTTGTCGTCATTCCTGGCACTCTTGGTGGGTATTTTTCAGATTTTTTTCTATGTACAAAAAAAGAAAAGCTCCGTGCCAAGCGTTTGAACTTTGATTTTTTTTCAACGCCTGGGCGTTATGTTCAGTAAATTGGTAGCAACTTTGCCCAGGACCCCCTTACCCCCCCCCCCCCCCGCCCCCTCCAAAAAAAAAGATAAAAGATTCAAAAGAATGGAAAGTTGTGTGAAAATGACTGGCCAAAACACAGACTGAGAACACTGCTGATTTCTGGGTTTTGCCACTGGAATGTATGTCTTGCTGAGATTGAATCAAAGAACTAAACACGTTTCCAATACCTACAGCGGCTCCAGCTAATGCGATTGTTGCACAGCCCGCTCCAATTAATTTTGCACCTTCTAACATAGCCATCTTCTTTCTGTTTTGTATAAAAAAAACAAAGACCATTTATTGTTGATTACCCAAATCGCCGATTTTGTCAAAATCAATGCGGCAGAGGCTCGCCAGCACTTCCTTCGGGCGTGCCTCTGCCAATCCTGAAGAGTTTTCTAAGTCTGTGTGTGTGTGGGTGCATGCTTGCTGGTCCGTGTGCCTGTCTGAGTACATGTCTGCCTGAGCATGTGTGTGGCCCGACAGGGCACTTGTGTGTGAGGCCCGGGGGGGCAGCGCTTACCTGTGGCCGGGACTTTAGCGGGGAGTAGGCCTGCGACACTTAGGGCAGCCAGGGAGAAACACCGGTATCACTAGAGTAGCAGTAGATGTGTCGGGAACTGAAGGCCAAGCAGAAGAAGACAAAAAGTTGGCTTTTAGAGAGGCCCAGTAGCGGGAGGGTAGAGGTAGGTGGGTACCAGTCAAGTAGCCTGAGGATAGGACCTGTGCGGACGATATCAGAGCCTGTAATGATGTTTCCGTCCGAAAGGGAGGAGGTACCGGTTGCTTGGAGGCCACGTGGCCTGGAAGTTACGGCCCGGGAGAGGCAAGTAGGCCGCTGTATCTCCAGGTAGCTGTGCTCTACCTCGTTTGCGGTATGCAAGTTCGGGCGGCATGCTACTTGACCGGGCGCTGGTTCTCAGAGCTCTGCCTGAAAGGAAGGGAGGGAGCTGGGTGCTCTGACTGGCTATGGCGAGCAGTTGCTCGAGGAGGAGGAAGAAGGTGGGGGGTGAAGGAGGAGAGTGGCGAGGTGCCTTCCTGGCTATGGTGGACACCATCTTTATCACCTCGTTAGGCACTGCATCTGGAAGGCCCCAGTGAGGGTATTGCCGCACCAAGGAAGCTTCGAGGCAGAGTCAGGCATGGCGGCCTGAAGAGCAGCGGCCATAGCTGCTTTGCGTTGTCTTTTGCACAGGTGGGGCCCTTAGTACTCCCCCATAGCCTAGGCCTGTGTGAGGAAGGAGGCCATGCCTATGGTGGACCTCTTGTTGTGCTGGTAGTAAGAAGGAACTTTGGATACTAATTCTGGTTCAGCCAATCATTGTCATTATTATTATTTTGGAGAAAGATAAGATTGGTGGAGACACAAGGAGCAGGAAAGTGGAGAGAGAAGGTTGTCATTGGTCTTGCTGGTGTACATCATCTTTCTTCTTCTTCATTCTTCTTCTTTGGTCTCCTCTCTCTCTTTGCAAGTGCTTTCATTTCTGTGCAATTGGGTGGCATCGTCTTTCCTTTGGAAGTAGTAGCTAGGATCGTAACACTAGTTCAAAGATTATAAGAAATCAAGCCAAAGAACACCCCTTTCAACCCTCTTTAGATCCCATGTGTGACCCCCTCCCCCTCCCCCCCCTTCCTCTTTACAGGACGTTCTACCAGCCATGTCTTATACCGCGAACTCTGACTGAAACAATAGTTGAAGCTCTTAGGGTCGTAAGTTGAATATAACGCCTGAGCAAACTCATGACTCATAACTTCAAAAGTGTTCTTCTGATCTTGTTTGTCTACTCAAGCCTTTCTGTCTTGGGGTGTTTGGTCTCTGCTGATCTTGTTTGTCCAGTCGACCCTTTCTGTCTTGGGGTGTTTGGTAATGGGTGCTTGAAAGGGATCTGTGGTGTCTGTGGTGTGTGTGTGTGTGTGTGGGTGGGTGGGTGGGTGGGTGGGGGGAGGAGGGGGTACGCTTGCAGGGATGTGAATTTTTTAGCAGCGCCTGCAGGGTTTCATAGTCGGCATTCTTTGTTGCTTACCGAGCAGTTGGTTTCTTGCTTGGCCAGTCTTTTCGTGCTTTCGGAAGACTGCAATGCCAACTGTTCTTTGGAAAACACTCCTTGCGGTGGGGGTTTCTTTCAGCAAGATGCGAGCAGGGCATGTCTACCCAGCACACCAAGACAAGAGCAGGGGATGTCCATCCACCACACCAAGAAGATGCAACCATCCAGTAGGGTTAAATAGAACAGTATATAGTGGCAGTCAAGTAGGTCAGGCATTTGTTTTCTTTATTTTATTTTTAAACAGATGAAGAGAAGGAGAAAAGGGAGTGGTAAAAGTATATGCCAAAGGGAGAGAGAGAGAGAGAGAGAGAGAGAGAGAGAGAGAGAGAGAGAGAGAGAGAGAGAGAGAGAGAGATTGATGGGGACGGAAATCATGCTCGTGTATGGATGGGATAGCCGTGGCAGAGAAATATAATAGAGGAGGAAATATAATACTGTTCTATTTAGAAGTAAAACACAGGCTGAGGTGGACGAAGACTGCAGAGAAATGGTAGAGCCCTAGTAGATATAGTAGACATCTCATTGGCTAGGTGAGGGCATGATAACAGGAAGAAGATGTAGTAGCAATAGGAATCCCTAGGGAGGGATAGGGAAAGCAAGGGGTGGAGGAAGAAGATGTAGTAGCAAGAGGACTCCCTAGGGAGGGATAGGGAAAGCGAGGGGTGGGTGGGAGAGAGAGGCTGGGAGGGAGAAAACAGGGAAAGAGAAGTGACTAGAAGATAGCTTCAGCTTGCATAGCAGGAAAGCAGGGAGAAAGAATTTGAGGGTGCCAAGGACGGATAAATCTATCTGATAGACAGAAGAGGAATGCATAGCAGGAAAGCAGGGAGAAATAATTTGAGGGTGCCAAGGACGGATAAATCTATCTGATAGACAGAAGAGGAACAAAGGGGAAGGGGAAGGATGGAGACAGGGAGTGGAGTGGGTGAAGAAGAGGATGGGGAGGGAATTCATAGGAGAGTTATGAAGGAGATATCGGGACTCCAATGATCAGATAGAGAGAAGGGTGAAGTAGCAACAAGCAAATGAAGAGGGGGGGAATCAACTGATTGTCCTCATCAAAAGAGGAGGGGCGGGGTGGGGGGGTTCATGCCCGTTGTGATTGATTGATTGAGGAGCAAATGCTGAGCCCATGGAAGATTGTGATTCAAAGGCCACACGTGTAGGAATGCTTGTGGTCTACTGCACGTGAACTGGGAAGGAGAACAGAGAGGAAGGATGGGGGGGAGGAAGTAGAAAATTTTGTTTGAATATTTTGTTCGTTAACTTCGTTGAAGTGGGTGAAGAAGAGGAAGGATGTTTCTTTGCCAGTCTTTTCTTTGTTTTGTACTCGTCTTCAACGTCTTGTGTGCTATTTGCCTGCTGTCCATTTCTATTTGCCTGTCCGTTTCCTGCATGTATATGCTCCTGAACGTACGCAATTTTGTGGTTTCGGTTTAAATGGAGTGCAAGCCAAGTGGGTGATGGAGGGAGGGGGGAAAGGGAGGGGGGAAAGGAGGGAGGGAGGGAGGGAGGGAGGGAGGGAGGAAGAAAGAGTTTGTGGAAGGGCTGTTTGGTTTGAATGGGATAGAGGCCTTTCACTTCGGATGTTTTATCCCTAGTTACTTTCTTTTTTTTATAACATACACACACAAAAAATAAAAAAAAAATAAAAAAAACACAGACACACACACACACGCAAAAAAAAAAAAAAAAGCATTACTATTCCGGGGGATGTCAGTGTGTTTTGACACAAGCTTAACCCCCTTTGTATTGTGGGGGCCACCAGTCCGCCGGTTGCTTATCCCCAGCAAGCATAATGTGTCCATAATAAACCAAGGCTGATTTAGAGCAGCGGGAGAGTATTTAAAAGTACCCAGTCATTTCAACAAACAAAAAAAAGTCCTACCCTACAGGCTCTTGAACTACTATGTGCACATCCCCAAAGTCATTTTGGCCAAAATCTAATAAAACTATGAGAAAATCGCAGAGAGGAAAACCGACGAAACTGGCAAGCAGATACGAGTACAGATATATAGCCTGTTTTCAGGGCCTGTCCAGTTGGGGTACCGGTTCTCAAAACAACATCAGCATTATTTTTCTGCGGTACCCCAGGCCCAGGTTGACTACAGTCTCGCCACGGCTAACTTATCAACGGGCAGCTTATGTAACTGCTATAATTGCGGGGATCCCAAGCTTCTTCGCTTCTTCGTTGACTTTTTGGCATTGCCGTGCATGCTGCTTACGTTTCTCCTATTGGTACTTTGGATGACTGGCACACACTGTACTACACCAACCAGGTAAATGGCCTGGGAATCCCAAAAACGTTTTTTGAATTTTTTGAAATCGGGGTTCAACCGGACACTGAACCCATACACCGGACACCGGACTGTCTGGATCTGGTCCGGACGTATGGGTGGTACCCATGCTGTTTTTGCCGACCCTGAATTTCACTGGCCACTAAGTTCTGTTGAGCCTGGGTCCCATTGTATTTTCTTTCTGGTATTCACCGCAGTTACATTCGAAAAAGAACAATCTGGTATTCACCGCAGTTACATTCGAAAAAGAACAAAAAAAAAGAAGACGAAGACAAAAGAAAAGAAGAAAGCATAAACTCGCCTAATGCCTTGATAGCCATCATATACATTCTACGAGGTCGTAGTGAGACTGTGCCCTCCGTTAGGGCCTAAGAACCGAAAGAAATATTGAATATCCCTTATGCTGTGATCGTGGTCCGATACAGGATGTTATAGTACTGGGACTGGCGTGAGTATGAGATGAGTGAGGCAGGTAGTTGCCTTGCGTGGATTGCGGGACTGTGCCCTGCCTTGCTGGCAGGGCATCAAAACCACGTGGAAAAAAAAAACAACAGCAATTACAATCCACTGATTCCACACACACTGACCAGATACATTGTACGAGTCCCTGGTGAGACTGACTGTGCCCTTAGTGAGGGCACAGTCTGTCCGATGATCAACTAATGAAGAACAAGATAAAAAGAAAGCATCCCTTATTCTGTGATTGCGGTCCAATACAGGATGCTAAAGTACCTATGTGAGTATGAGGTTGAGTGAGACAGGGCGTGGAATCGTCCCTGACGCTCTGGCAGGGCACGTTCCACATATAGTGGCCAGATACATTCCTCAAACCAGTGGTGTCACTTGCACCTAGCTGAGGGCCGTCCCTACATCTCTGGATTCAGTGGGATTTGTGTTTGTTTTTTTCTTCGCCCTCGTCGCGGGCCAGTAGGGTCCCAATCGTTTCCTCTTTTTCCCTTTCCTGCCGACCCTCCTAGGGCCTCCGATTTTTTTGGGAAGGGCGTTTTCCCCTAGGTACCAACAGGTCCTCAAATGCCTGCTACTTTACCATGGTGGTTTTTAATTCTCATTTCTGTGGAAAACATCCGGGGGCACAGGACAGGTAGGACAGGTTCCGCAGTATCAGGAGACGAAATTGAAAAACAACCAAAGGTAACAACCAAAGGTGTTTTGTCCCATGGATAAATATTTGCACCAAACTGAATGCGACTTCAAAGTTGTTATGACCCCATAAAGCGCGCAAGTTCCTGGCTGGACAGGTCATGGTCTGTTGTTGCTGTTGTCGTTTTCGGTTTTGGAAACCCTGTGTCAGTGTGCTAGAGGGGCGATATGAGCATCACCACGGTTTGTTGTTCTTACAGATTCGATCCGGCCCAGGAAAAAGTATGGGGGGGTACCCCCTTATTGCCAGCCTGCCTGCTCACATGAAAGATACGTTGCTAATGAAGGAAATCAGCATCCACATCCAAAAATCATTTATACCAGTAGCGTAAGGGAAGCTGTTCTGTACCAGCACAACAAGGGCCCAGTGGAAAGTGCAGTTGTTAATAGATCCCCTGCGGGAGGTAGTGGTAATAATCAACTTCGTTAGCTTAGCATTGTAATAATGAACACCACACGAAAGAGAGCACCATGACACAAGACGGGACAGAGGAAATCAGCAGTCGACGGAGGAGGAAGTCCAAGCCTGTCTGTGTCGAATTCTTAAGAGCCTGTGTCGAATTCTTAAGAGCCCGCAACTCACATCCCCTGCAGACTCCTGACATGGCAGAGACTATAAGGAACAGGGTGACATTGGGGGACCTGCAATTCTGCTGATGGATCCTGTACGGCTGATCTACGGTAAAAGACCTGGGCTGGAGAAAAGGCCTATGGGAGGCTGACCTCGACCTGTGCACACTCAATGTTAATGGTCTCGCAACGGCCACACCGGACAAATGGCAGGTGATATGGGAACAAGGTGTGGCTAGGAAAACGTGGCTGGATGTGGTCTGCATTCAAGAGACCCACCTTCTTGGCAACCCGGACCATCATCGTGCCCACCACCTGATATGGCAATGCTAGGCCTTCAGGGGCCATGCCCTGAGGCCAGGTAGTGCCGGGGTCGCGAGTTGGCTTCGACCATCCTCCTGAGCAACACCGGTGTAAGGAGGAAGGGAGGCGGGTCTCGGTACAAGTAATGTTGGAGGTGGAACTGCTCTGAATCATCTGCGTATATGCTCCAAACACGGAAGGGGAGAGGCGGACTTTTTCTGAGGGGATTTGCCAGCACATCCCAGCAGGCCTCCTGGTGATCATTGCAGGTGACTTCAATGCGGCTCCGGACCGCTGGCTAGACGGGTGGAGAATTTCTTCCCTTCCCCCAGCGTATATAGCAGCAGATGAAGCAAATTATTGAACAGTTGTGTTCCACCCTTCGCGTATTCGGTACTTTTCAATAACACTCACCTTCAAAAAATGGGTTAGTTTTTATGAACTTAACACGACATTGCTTCACCAACAAGACTTCTTTAGCTTAATACGGGATATGTGACAATATTGGCGTAAAAAAAAACAATTAAATTGAAGTAATTGATTATGAGATCACATGGTTCAACAATGGTCTTTATTTTACGGGTGGCAAATGGAAAGGTTACGCAAAAAAAAATGGTCAACCATAGATTTTGGGAAGAAATGGAAATTTTATACCGAATTCGAGAGCAGTAGCCCCCTGGCCCGGAATTACAAAATCTTAATAGCAAGCTCTTAGAATTTGCAACCTACAGATGGCAAGGCATAAGGATCAGAGGCAAGGTATCTAAGCACAACACGGAAGGGGCCATGGATTCTATTTTTTTTGCCATGGCCAAGGCCAGAACAAGAAGGCAATCAATTGAGACCTTCTTGGACCTCGTTGACTCGGATCGGCCCCAAGCCACCTCCACCCTGCAATGTATGAGGATGGCTAGGGACTTTTACAAGGATTTTTTCACATCCCACACTAATGGCACACCAATAGAACAAAAGGACTTAGAAATTGACACTTTCCTCACCCCACTCATCAATACTCTGAGCCCCCAATTGAGAGAGGCGTTGGAAAGACCAATAACCAAAAACGAGATATTGACCGCCTTACTCCAGATAGATGAAGAAAAGGGGACAAAATGAATTACGGGTCTCTCGTGTGAATGGCTTCCCGAAATAATTATGGGCATCATGTTGGGACTGGCTGGCAGACGACTTCATGAGCTTTTATGGGAAGGTGTGGGAAGAGGGAGTGATGGGGGAAATGGCAGGGCAAGGGGTGCTTACATTGCTATATAAAAAAAAAAAAGGGACAAAAAGAATATACGAAACTACAGACATCTTACGCTGCTAACCGTTGTTTATAAAATGTTATCCAAAGTGCTTGCCAACAGGATGGCTTCGGCCTTGGAGCAAATAATAGATCCTTCGCAAACCGACTTTCTCAAGGGTCGTCGCATCCACGGTAGCATTCTATTGGTGAATGAATTGTTGCGCCTCTCCCATCAATCCAAGTGTAATGACGCCTTCATCCTTATAAATTTCAAAAAGGTTCGACCATGTGGACTGACGTTGTTTGGATATATGTGTAGCTAAAATGAACTTTGGGGAGGACTTTAGACAATGGGTGTGCATCCTTCATGCCAACGCCACCACCAAAGTGCAAATCAATGGGCATTTGGCCCCATAATTTCCCTTGCAACGTTCGGTCAGGCAGGGTGATCCCTTGGCCCCTTATCTCTT